GTTAAAAAATATAACTAACAGTATTCTCGACCGACTGATAGTCTAAACTTAAAAAAACTAATATATATAACTTATATTTTAAAATATGGTCGCGGTTATTTAAAGTAATAGTAATTATTTACTTTATTTTTACTATAATATATAATACTCGACTATTTTTTTTTATACTCGACTACTATTTTTATATAATCTTCTTTTTATATCAACTTTTATATAAACTATTTTTTTTAACAAATCTATTTTTTTTTTTTTACCGAATTTTTATATTATCTTTTAAGCTTAATAAATTTAAAAAAGATTATAATTATTAATATACTCAAATCCTCCAAACAGAGAAGAAAATTCGAAAAAAAAAGAAATAGAGAAAGATCAAAAAAAAACTTATTCAAAATATTAAAATAATATCTGTAAAATAGGATTTTACTATCTGGCTCCGTAAAAAAAAAAAGTATTAAATCTTTCCGATCCTTTTTTATAACAAAATACTACTGCTTTAATAAAAAGAAACTTGGCTTAAGACCGGAACAGCAATAAAAATATTAAAAAATTAAGAAAACTAGTATTATCTTAAATATAAGAATAATTTAACTTAATAATTTTCTTTTTTTTTATAAACTTTCTAAACTTTATTTTAAAACAGTATCTAATCCTAGATCGGACTTCGGCTCTATTTATTTTTACTTATAATTAAATAGTTTAGACTTCGAATCTAGTTATAATCCTTTTCAACATAATAAATTTTCTAAGTATAAAAAAAAGCTGGTTTCTAAAAATATTATTTTTATAACCAGCACCTCCGATATCTTTAATAACAAAATATCTAAAAAAAAGAATAATAAAAAAGCCCCAGACTATTAAGATATTAATCTAATTCCGGGTATTATACTATAATACCCCAACTATAAGATTAATAAAAAAACTTCGATTATTTAATTTATCGATTATATAATATTAATAAACCTATTTTTCTAATATTTTTAACTACTTCTAATACTATCTACTTACATCGAGTCTAAATTACCGAAATTTAAAGTCGGATAAATACAAGACACCAGCCATATTTACAGATATAAAATAATTTTTAATAATTTAATTATTTATATTTTTTACTAGTTATAAATCTATTTAAATATTTATTAGATTATTAACTAATATAGAAAGAATATTCCTAAGATCTATTTTAATTCTTTTAATATATTACCCGAGTTTAAGTTAAAACACGAGATTAAAAAAAAAATTCTTAAACTGTTTCTAATATAAATTAATAAAGCTAAACAAATAGTAAAAAACTTCAACAAAGCTATAGATTACTGGTAATAAGATATTATTAATTAAAAAATTAATATTTTTTATACAGTACTTAATTTACCGGATAATAAATTCTAGAAGCTAAAAAATAATATATTTAGTTAAAAAAATAATATATAGCAGATTAACTATAAAAAGCCATCTGGCAGAGTATATTTATATAATTAATTAAATAAGATTTAAAATTAGATTAAAATAAAGAGTTATATTATTCCTGCCGTAAAGTCTTTCTTTTAATATATTAAGAATACAAAGAAGTTTCTCGATGCTTTTAAAAAAAAAGTTTAGACAGACGAAGAAATAAAAATTAAAATAAAAAAGCAATAATACTCTGATTTAAATAATAATAATAAAAAATTTATATATTCTCTATTTAACAAAAAAGATATAGCTTTTATTATATTAATATTTTTTGACAACAACAATCTCAACAAACCGAAGTTTTATAATTAAATAGTTAATTAATATCTAGTTTAGAAAAAGTCTATAATTAAAATAATAGTTAATAATTTTATAAAAGTTTTTAATCTTAGCTTTCTATCGAATATAAAAAATACTCCTACATCTAGAAATCTTCTAAAAAACAGATACTATACAGCTTAATTTATTAATAATTATATATAAAGTTTCTATATATTAGTACTCGAAGTCTACTTTTTAAGTATTAATAAACTATTTAATATAATATTCTTATTTTATTACTAATACCTACTGTATAATATAAAGAAATAGTTTCTAAATAAAAATAAAAAAAATATTATTTTTATATTAAAACTGCTTATATAATAGTCTCTCAACAAAACAATTCGCAAAAAATTAATAAATATTTATTAAACTGTAAATTAACTCTAGTTTTTCTATTACTTTAATATATCGATTATTCCTACTGTTACTTTAATTTATTAATTTTTTTTTTTATATTTTAATCCGTCTTTTATAATATTAATTTCTGTATTTCTTATTTTTATTGCTATTTCTTACTTTGGTATATACTTTTATAGCAATATATCCTCGCCTTTTTATAAAAAAGAGTATTATATTCAACTTCTTAATATTCTATTAAACTAGCGGAGTAATATCCTCTCTTACCGCCTTTAGGCTGGTGATATTATATAGGCAGTTAAGCTAGCGAACCTTAGAAGAATTAATAATCAGTTATTTATTTATTGCTTTCTTGAAGGCTCGGAGCCAACATTTATAGATATATTTTAACTGTTTTAGACTAATACTAATAGTTTCTAACTTTCTAAAGAACTGGCAGCTTGTTTATATTAACTATCTAATATTCTATTATATCTTTATATATTATATTATTTAATCTTATATTTTGATTTATTAATCTTGACCGTAGCTTTATATTTGATAAGAACTAGATATAGAAAAAATAGTTTAGTAATAAATTTAATTAGTTAATATATATTTTAATAAAAATTTTAATAGTGATTAGTAGTATTATAGATTAGTAAAATAATATATCTTAGTAATATTCTCTTTACTAGAAAAAATATAGATAAGTATAAAAATAATTAATTTAATACTTCAGTCCAAGCCGGGCTTATAATCTATTAAAGAATATACTACAAGAGCTGAAGACTTGAAGTTATTCAAAATTATATTAATTAGTTAGTTAAGGAAACTGGCTATCAGCTATGTAGTATTTTCAACTTTTCGGCCGTTACGTGACCCGGCGATCCAGGCCACCAACGCCGACACCTTTCGTCGGGCCCCGCCGACGATGCAAGAGCTATCTCTCGAAACCGTCCACCTCTTCAAATCCTTTCAGAAGCCTCAGTGAGACTGCCGCGTCGCGTCGCAGTTATGCGGTAGGTTAATGGTTGTGAGACCTGCTAAATTGGTTGTGCTTTGAGGGGGACGTGGAGAGACGCGCAAACAAGACTGGGGATTGGCAGGAGCAGCATCACAGACCGGACCAGTTTCGCCATGGAAACCGGCTTCCTACTGCAGATCTCGCTTGCTTCAAACTTCGAGTCCAGCCAACCCATGCGAGGCCTGCCTCCTTTTCTTTTCCGGTCCAGCATCGTGAGATAAAATACAACGCGAAGCTGCGACCAATGCTTGTCGTCCATTGAACAATTCCGGCGCATCAGTATCTGAATCTAATGTACGTTGAGTATCCATGTGGCCCCATGAAGGATGAAGGTGGAGACGTCAACGTGCATGGACGCGGCGCGTGCATGCGTCCGAGCCGTTTCGAGCCTGCATGCCTGCTGGACAATAGGTGACCAAGCAAAAGGATGAGCCTTGCGCGATGGCTTTGCTGGCAAGCAGGTTTCTAAGGCCCAGCGTCATCTTGCAGGCGGTCATGGCGCTACCCGCTGGGCTACGAAAGAAGGCTTAATTAACGAATGCTATATCGATATTGATGAACCGACACCTGTAACCCAGAGAGCACGAGCAGCAGGCTAAGGGCCAAGGTTCCGTCCCGGAACAAAACCAATAAAGAGACCTGGAAGTGTGTACCACACCTATAGTCCTGATCTTAGCACATCTGCGCCACCAACTTGGTCAATCCAGCTTATCTCTTTGGTCCCCATACTCGACTCATTGAGGCAATCACCGAACCCCAACGAAACATTCATTCCTCGAAGTGTATTTTTTGCCCTGGGTTTGCAGGCCAGGTCTCGTAAGGATTTGTAGCGGGACTTCAATTATGCTTTTGGGTGTTTCGATGCGTCCTTATGTTCGTCTTAACCTAAAGATCACACCGGGTACGTCGGAGAGGGTCGGTGTCGATAAGAAAGGCATACTGCGCGATGATTGCACGCACAGGCAGAAATCGACATTGGTGTTTGGCACTGTTCGAATTTGGCAGAAGTGGTGATAATTCTTTCTCAAAAGGATTCCGTCCCATATCGTCTCTTCTAGATCTATAATGCTCGCAGTCCTTCGCCTCTCCACAGAAATTCGGCAATTAACGATTACTCTGCCGAAGCTCGCAGGCTCCAATTTGAGAGCCGTGATCATTTCACCGGCGGTCAGCGTGGGCTAAGGGCAAATAGCGCTGGCCAGCTCGATCTGCTTCGTGGAGATTTCATCTGCAACCACTTCACGCCTTGGCCGAGAAGCATTCTCACGACAGGAACCCCGAGACCACAACCAAGGTCAAGAATGGAGGCCGTAGTGTGCTGTAGTGGATCGAGGAGCAGGTTGGCGTATTGTTGTCGCGACGACCTCTGACTTTCTACTCACTGGAAGTACCCTTGCGTGATACATGGAAAAAGGGGGGGGGCAGCTCCGATTAGTGATAACGGTAGTGTCCCCAGAACAATAATATTGTGGTAAAAGGCTCGGAAGCAGATAGTTTATTGTATGGATAGATTTGTCATCCGGTGCGTTTCTGCGCGCGACTGCAGAGGGATATACACCGACCAAAGAAAAATGACAGATGAACCAGTAGGACTACCTAGTAATTTTCAATCAGGCCATAAGTTAACGCGCGGGGTAAATTACACATCGGTTTCTAGCGCCAGGAGCCGATCGTGAGCTGACCCGTGCTTGTCTCAGGCCTCATCGCCTGCAAATCAGACTATCAATCTTGTGAAGGCACGAAGCGCATGCAGGGCAGGAAAATGATCTCAGTTAATTAGGGGGCTAAGGTTGCACCCCGGTCAATGCCTTACGTGGGAGTTCTATTCCTACCACAGATGATGCGAAAATCACACTAGCTATTCCGGGAGACAAACCGGGGTAACTTAGAGAGCGAGCCCTTTGCATCCTGGATCCACCGGGCGCGCGATTTTAATCGGTGGATAATGATGAATCATGCGCCCGCAAACGGATAGATGTTCTGGGTTCTGGAACACGCAAAATTTCCGGAGCGTCATATCTATGTCTTATTCGCCTCCACTCCAAAGGGCATGATTTTGTTTTGAAGCATAGGTGTAGAGTTGATTCAGAAAATGGAGAATGCTTATTATCAAAGTCCAAAGATAGGGGAATCACAATTCGAAACAATTGCACACTCCCGAAATACAGGCGCACGTCTGGGAGCAGCAGTTTTCAGGGTATTCGAAGATGCAAGGTTGGCCGACGGCAGTGCACTTCGGCGGGGCGGCGCACTTGACGGAAATGCTGGCGGGCTGACCAGCCAGTGGAACCGAGTAGGTGGTGGGGTTGCTGGTTCCGCCCGTGCCCGACCAGACCGCGGCGCTGTTGCCGGGCTTCGGCGTCGCGGTGAAAGTGAGCTTGCTCTTGCGCAAAGCCTTGAAGGTCTTAGATCCGCTGTCGAAAGTGAAGGAGTCCCCGTAAATGTCGGCCGGAAACTTGACCGTCACGGAGCATCCTTCATTGGTGATGGTCAATTGGGCGCAAGCTACGCTCGCGACCGCATTGCCGATGAGGCCGTTGGCCGGGGTGTGGCTGCAGATGTCTCTTTTGTCAAGCACCGGCGAAGCGCTTGCTAGAGATGCGACAAGGGGGTAGAGGAGGCTGCCTTTGAGCATTGTGATCGGGTCAGGGGGGTCGATGTGGAGCGATGGTTGAGGTCTGGATATGGTGGTGCGGGATTGAGACTAGAATACCGATGTTCAACAGCAGGATCGGCGCAGGTCTGCTCTTTTATATCCAGATCGTGCCCAGTTTTATGGCACAAGACTACACAACAGAAGAGTGATATTCAACTCGATCCATGGACTCAGAATCCCGTGAGCGGCTGGTACGAGGTCTCCATACAATGCTGAACTGGCTTGCGGCTCCGTCTGTATGCTTAGATCATGGTTACTGGGCTCATTGGTCGATCGAGGTTTGCTCCTGCGTTCAGACTGAGTCTAGATTACATTTTTATCCCTTCGCTTGGTTCGACATGCGCGTGATTAAATCTAAGATTGCATGTGAACCATGGCAGTGGAACTTGATGGTAGCAAGGCTTCTACGCATCTGGTATTTCCTGCCAACCCTCCAAGCATTGGATACTCGACTAAGATCGACCAGGCGCAAAAGCTGAATGATGTTATTACCATTCTTCGGAACAATATATAAAACAAGATATTTTACACACTGGAGTTTCAGGATAAGTGCTTTTTAACCAAAAAGTCAAGAATACTAGAAAGTGGAGATGCCGTGCAACTTACCACATCCAGCCGAGCCCGATTATTTCTCGCCTTGCCCAGATAGAAAAACATCAGGAATAGATGTGCATGTATCGGGCGACCCATGCAATCTTCTCCGGCGAAGTTCCCCTATCGAACCAAGCAATCCACACTTCCCTGACCCTGATGCCTCTTGGCCCCTCTCACCTCCTCGTCTTCTACACTCTTATTTTCATCACTCTGACTAACTTGCACCTGCACATCCATCCTCTTGACGATCGCTCCCCCATTACCCACCAGAATGCCTTCCTCACTACTCAAACTCAAATCCACACTCCCATTTCTCCCACCCCCGGCTTCCACTCCCACATGATATTTCCGCATCTCGCGGCGCAGCATCTCGGCCGAGGTCAGTCGTGGTCGTCCCGCTACCGCCAGTTCAAATATCCCCCCGTCGCCATTTCCATCCCCATCCTGTGTTCCCCCCCCCTTTTTGGTAGATCGAAGGCGGAACCCTGAGGTACTCGGGCTCCGACCATAGCCGTACCCGTATATGTTCTTGCCGGAGGAATATTGGTCGGTCGTCCCGAAGAGGCGCGGCCAGTAGCGACTGACGACCGCTTTGAGACACGGGGCACAGGCGGCGACGACGGCAACGTGCACCTCGACGGCGGAACTACAGAAGCCGATGGCGTAGGTCGCGTCGGTGACAGGCTGGGTCGGGAAGAAGCCGTTTGCCAGGAGGATGATTCTCCAGATGCCAATTGCGGTTGCTCTGTTGTTGGGCGCTTTCTTTAGTGCCTGTGATGTGCAGGGGGTAAAGGGAAAGTGGGCGGAACGTACATCAACCCCATACATAATATCACGCACACGGCCAGTTTCTTTCGCCACGGCATGTGGAGGCGGAAGGTGATCAGTGTCGGGATCGAGACGACGAGGATATCGGTAAACAAATTGATGGCGGCGGTCGCGACATAGAAGGCCCCTTGGTTGATGCAGGTGCCGTTGGCGAGGGAGGTGTCGTAGACGTACGCGATCGGGTGGCATTGAAAGATATCGACGAACAGAACAACGAGGAAGAGGAGGATGGTGACGCTCGTGGTGGACCAAATGAGGAGGTTGACTGACCGGGATTGCGACTCGAGGCGGCGGAGAAAGAAGAGGATCGAGAGTTTGACCATTGTGAGGCAGGGGTTATAGATGAGCTGGTTGGCGAAATTCCACTTTTCGTCCAGGCTTGGGAGTCAGTTTTTGATTTGTCTTGGTGGGGCAGGAGATTACTCGGAATGCTCGTACAATGAGGCCAGTTTTTATGTTGTAGTCTGCGGGAATGTCCCATTCGTGGATGCCCACATAGTTCGTTTTGATGTCTTTATCTGTCAGATAGACGTTTCAGTAGCCAATGAAGATGCAAACGGACAATACCACGAGGTGATGGATTGGCCGATGGCCAGTATCTAGGAATGTTTAGTGGGGAGTGAACTGGCGGGAGAGATCTATCATGCAACCCACATATCCGGCCACGATGAACACATCATCTGCCTCGATTAGCTAAAAGATCGACGGTCCCACGAGAAAAAAAGCTCACCCGGTCCGAACCGCGTTCCTGTCATAAGCCGACTCCATGACCGCAGCACGACTGCGATCCCTCCCAAAATAGGAAAGGCAACTACGACCCCCAGAGCCACTTTCTGGTGCCTGTCGTCAACCATGGGGGGTTGATAATCATCGAAGCATTGCAAAATCTCGCGACGGCCGGGAAAGGGGAACCGGAATCTTATGAACTCGGTGCAGCAGCAGGCAGGGATAAAATCCTGCATGCAGGTCCATTGCGCCGGTTTTCCAATGGTGACCAGCCGAGCAGGGATGCGTGTCTTAGTGTATCCAGCTTAAATACAAGAACAGTGCCATAGACAAGCTCGTTTATCTGCCCGGCGTGGAAATTCTGGGCGCGGCAAAGTACAGGCAATGACTGTGGCGTGCACTATTCACCTCGAAAGTGGCATCTGGCCAATCACACACCAACTCGTAAACATGTAGCATCTAGACGGCTCGACCGGAAAGCACGGCAGAGAGCGTGAGCAGGCAAATGAAACGTAGTCTGGCACAAACAAATTAATTTGCTGGAGGTAGGCATGGCCGTGGAATTGCTGCCTTTGGGGGGGTTGTTCCGAGGCTAATGGCGCCGGTAGTTTAGGGCTCGGGCGGGATTGGCCGAGGCCCGGACCATCTGGGGATTTCAATCCACCGGATCCTCACTAACGCCAGACTATCCACAATCGCTCCTCGCTAGCGACCAAACTAACACCGGGGAATGCCAGCAAAGTTCCCGTGCAATCTCCGGCAAGGACCGGCCCAGCCTCGGGTCTTCGGCCCAAGCTAAAAAAACACAATGGACTGTGGATGTGCCAACGGCACGTTGTTGAGTGTCGACCATCATCCCACATGGGCCATCCTGCCAAATGCCCCACTAATTATGAGAGATTCTTGTCGGTGTTATTTAAATGGGCAAAGCCCGGTCTGTAGCTAGGGGTTGACAGTCTTGTGTCCATCATGGTTCCTTCAACACCTTCACTACTGGCCGCACTGGGCGTATGCTCGCAGGCCCTGGCCTCTGTGGGGACAGTCCCTGCGGCTGCCACCACGGTCTCCTCCACCAACTTAATCGCCAATGCGTCGTATTTCGTCAGTGAAACACAGCAGCTCACCAACAGTGCCTTAAGGACGCTGGGGAACTATGAGTCTATGTTCAAGTTTGCTGACGCCAACCTCACCCTGCCTGCAGTGGGCACATGTAAGGTTTACCCCGGAGATGCTGCGTGGCCCTCGACCTCCCAGTGGTCGGCATTGAACCAAGCACTGGGCGGTGCTCTCATCAAGACAGTCCCCCTGGCTGCGACCTGCTACCCAGCTTGGTCGGCTTACTACAACCAAACAGCCTGTGAAGAGATTTCCGATGACTGGACTGTGTCATACCTACAGTACGTTCCCCCCATTTCTGGGAATGTCTCTGAATGTAAACGCTGACTTAAGCAGTGCCGCAGACCCCGCCTCAATCATGTGGCCTCTATTCGAAGGCCGTAGCTGTCTTCCTACTGACATCGCGACTTCTTCTACCTGTACCGTTGGTGGCTACAGCAGCTATGCCGTCAATGTCAGCACCGTGGCGCAGATCCAGCTGGCAGTCAATTTCGCTCGCAACCATGGGCTACGATTGACAGTAAAGAACACAGGCCACGACTTCAACGGCAAGTCAACCGGTGCTGGGGCCCTGGGCATCTGGACACACAATCTCAAGGACATTGAGGTCTATGATGAATACCATCTGGGTAACTACCATGGCCCTGCCGTGAAGCTAGGCGCAGGTGTCCAGGCCTTCGAGGTTTATGAAAAGGCTCACGAGCTCGGCTACACCGTGGTTGGAGGCGAGGGCAAGACCGTGGGTGTGGCCGGTGGATACGTGCTGGGCGGTGGCCACTCGCCCATGTCCAGTGTCTATGGACTGGCTGCTGATCAGGTTTTGGCCCTAGAGGTCGTTCTCGCCAACGGTCGCTTTGTTACTGTAACCGAGCAATCCAACCCAGACCTCTTCTGGGCACTTCGCGGCGGCGGCGGTGGTAAGCAGACACCCCCGGTTTCTACCCATCCCTCTCTTCCACTCGCTAAACTTAACACAATCAATAGGGACCTATGGTGTCGTGACATCAATCATCTCGCGCCTCCACCCCAAGATCCCCGTCACTGTCTCCACCTTCTCCTTCATGACTTCCACTAATGTGACTGCCGCAACTTTCTGGGCAGGCGTGGACGCGTACATGAAGCGCTTCCCGACCAATGCCGACGCGGGCACGTACGCCTACTTCTGGATTATCAAGCTCGGTGAGGAGAGCTTCGAATTCCTGATGAATCCCTACTTCGCGGTGAACCACACGGTGGCCGAATTCGACCGCCTGATGGCCCCGTGGTTCGCCGACTTGGACCGGCTGGGCATTACCTACACCCCGAAAACGACCTACTACGACAACTTTTACGACGCCTGGGAAGCGGGCTTCCCGCTCGAAACCATCGGCAGTGTGACGATGATGACCGGCTCACGCCTCATCCCGCGCGAGAATTTCGTCAACGCGACCCTCTTCAACCAGACCACTGCCGCTTTCCGTTCGACGGTCTCTGCGGGCTACTCGCTGTTGGCCTTCAACCTCAAGGCCGAGCTTCCCGCCGGTTACCCAGAGAGCGCGGCCAACCCGGCCTTCCGGACCACGCTGATGCATGCTATCACCTCGACCAGCTGGGACAGCAACGCCACCAATGCGGAGATTCTGAAGACTATGGATACCTTGACGTATGATGTGCTGGGCGAGTGGCGCAAGACATGCCCGGACTCCGGGGCGTACATGTCCGAGGCAGATATTCAAGAGCCGAATTTCCAGCAAGCGTTCTACGGAAATTTGTACGCGCGGTTGTATGCTGTCAAGCAGCGGTGGGATCCCGCGGGTCTGTTCTATGCGCCCACGGCCGTGGGAAGTGAGGATTGGGAGGTGAGAAGTCTAGATGGGTTACCAGACCAGAATGGGCGGTTGTGCCGGGTTTAAGAAAATCTAACTGGTATTGTTCGATGCTCGGGGAAGTTTTGTATGATAAGTGTTGTATAGTATTGATTGAACATGGGGTACTTATTCAGAGTTAAACAGCGCTCAGGTCAGAGAGTATGTGGAAGGATACACTTTAAGTGCTGGAGAGCTGAGGCTATACAAATTTTATTGGTCGTTATAGAAGAGGAACTGGCTATTACTATATAATATCTTTGCTGATGTTAAGGGAAAGAGGTCAGTTAGGTATAGAATAGCAGCAGTCTATTAAAATCAAAACCAATCCTTGCTTTTCTGTAGTCTAGTAAAATAAAAGAGAGTTAAGTATATAAGAAGAATTAGAATTATTAATATTATAATTATTATATAAAAGAAATATAAAAAACTTATAGATAACTAACTAGATTACCTAGAATTATTTATAATAATTAGGCTTTTTTTTCTATACAGCTGTTTCTAGTAGTATTTAGATAATATAATATTATTATTCCATCGGTTATTCTAACCAATTTAGTATAAATAATAATAATAGATAGTATTACTATAGAATTAGATTAAATTTAAATTAATATTTTATAAATTAATATTATTCTATTTTAAAAATATAATTTTTTTAATATAATAATAATAGTATAATTATATATTATTAATTTCTTTATTATTATTTAATCTTATTACTATAATTTTATAATATTTTTATTTTATTTATATATTAATATTATTATAAATTATTTTTTATATTATTTATATTATTAGAACAGTAAGTATAAATCTATATTTAATAATACTGAGATATTAATAGATAACTATAGTTTTATTAATAAATTAAAATATTTCTACGAATCATTTATTATTTTTAGCAGAAACTTTATTTTATTTTAATATTATATTCTATCTGAAATATTTAAGAATATTAATTTAAAATTATATTATTAGATTTAGTATATAATTTAAGCCTAATTATTATTTTAATATTATTTCTTCAGTAAATTACTAGTAGTATATTATATAAAAATTTAATTATATTCTAGTATATTTTTTATTCTATTCTTATAATGTAACTAATTATTAGTTAGACAGTAATTGATAAACTAAAAGATATATCTAATTTTATAAAAATCTATAAAATTGAATATTATATTTCTACTGCAACTAAAAAAATAATAATAATAAATAATTATTTTATTTTATTAGAAAATTACTAATATATCTATAAAAATATATTATAATACACTATAGATTTATTATTAAATATTATACTTTTATCATATATATAAATAAAGATTTTAAATATTTTTATCTTTTTTTTAATAATATAAACTATCTATTTTAATATTCTTAGATAATATTACTCAAAAGATAATATATTTGTATATTAATAAATAAAAAATTAAAAAATACTTTATTTAGAAATTTTATAATATTTCTCTAGCTGCTATTATTTATAATCTATAATATAGTTATTTTACTAGTACTTATAATATATTTTAATATCTTTATATTATTATAATACTGTTGATTTTTATCTTGTTAAATTTAATCTAGGTCTGATTTTTTTTATTATAAGGGCTAGAGGTGAAATAGCATGCATGATAAACATATAACTCTTGCGAGTCCAAAAGTAATAATATATTATTTTAAGACATTAGGGTTTACATTAGGGTTTACATTAGGGTTTACATTAGGGTTTACATTAGGGTTTACATTAGGGTTTACATTAGGGTTTACATTAGGGTT